GCAGGAATTTTTATTGTTCCCTGACTTTCGTGGAGGGATCCATCTCAAAAATAGCCTGTGCCTTAAAGAACAACAGAAATTATTGTATTTTAAAAGGGGAATTGAGCATGAATAAGACTAGATGTACTGTGACTGTATTCCAGTGAAGGCCACAATGCCATAAATTGAGAAGCATTGCTTTTCAGTTCTTCCATTATGCTTTTATTTATACTGTCCCAGTGTGGTCACTAGGGAACAATTTTGCTAGAACAGTGAGACAAAAGAGAAAAATTATTCTGTGTTGTGCTGAAGACATAGTATGTATCTGGTGTCTCATTTCAGCTGTTTGTAAACTACCTTGTCAACATGGAGGAAAATGCATAGCTCCAAACGTGTGCAGATGTCGACTGCCGTACTCTGGTCTACAGTGTACAAAGAAAAGGAAGGAGTGAAGCAACTTCAGCTAAGATAAGCTGCATTTTCTTGTAACTCTTCATACAGAGATGAAGTCTGCAGCAGTGTGGGACTTTTAACAAATGTGGTAACTAATTGATTTCAGATAGTTTTCTGTCTTCAGTGTATTAAGTAAATGCTTTTCTGTATGAAAGAAAAGTATTGCTGATTGTAACAAAGCTGTTAAGTATCCAAGTGTGTGTAGTGTATAGCACATGTTTTCTTCTGTTCTCATTTTTAATTTGTAAGCAGAAGTTGATACAGCTGACTTTGAAATAAAATGTACTCTTCAAATAAAGTACTTCAGAATAGATCTATGCCCTTCTTTTTGATTTTTTTCCCCCTTTGACCAGAATTATTGCATCATATTAATGATGTGTATTTAAGAATTGCACATGAAACAATTAATTCGGGTAATCAGAAGTGGATGTTAGTCCAAGTATAATTCAATAAGATTACACAGTTGCAAGAGGAAACTTGCAGAGTTCGCATCTTTCTAGAACATCAGCAAACTGCAAAGCATCTTATTAAAATCCTGGTTATTGCTTTATGTAGGCTTCCTGCCTCTGCACCCCCCCAATCTTGATCAGTAAAGCAGTATTAAAAAAACCCCAAAACACAGTACTTGTTCTGACTGTTCCACTATTGCTTTCTAAAAGCTTAATCCATACTGATACTCTGAAAGAGCCCTTATCTTGACTACTTCTACAATCATTTTATCTGATCAACTTCCAATTATTTCTTTTCTTTATGCCAGTAAGATAGGGAAATGTGTTTCTTTCCCTTCTGGAGATGTAGACATTGATGAGTCATTCCTGTTCAAGATTGTGCTGTTACAGGAGCAGTATAGTGGGAGGCTACAGACTGGCAGTGAGGAAAAGCTGTATCTGTCACAAATCACCTGTGTAGAGGATGATGAAGTTTGTCTTCTGGATGTGTTCCAGTTTGGCCTTATTTAAGTTTTGCAGCCTTTTGAATGGGCTGCAGATTGGACTGAGACTTCTATGTTCATTGTTCCATGTCTCATCTGTGCTGTTTCTTGAATGGTACACTTGAGGAAGGTTTTGCCAAAACATGCAAGGTGAATCAGTCAACTTTCTGAATGATGCCCAAATAATTTTTTTTTTTTTGAGAAAGATTGGTTTTCCTTGTCTTCTAGGTGAAACTGGAATTTTTGGTGGGAGAATTTAAACTATGCATTATTTTAATCCATTGTCCTATGCATTATTTTAATTCATTTGATAGAATAGTATTGTATTTGTGTATAAGCTCCCTTGCCAGAAGATGTAGCTTTCATAGGCAGAGTGACTTACATGGACATGCTTCCCCAGGGATTACAAGCCACTGAGCAGTGACAAGAAGCAAAGGAAATGGGGTTTTCTCAGTTACCAGCCTTCTCTAAAAGAGAGAACCCAAACATATGGAGGACAAATGAAAGACAATGGTATAGTTCATGAGACTCCTTTTCTGTTACGAGCAATTGTTGTGTTGTGTAGTTGAGAAGCTTTCTTCTGCCCTTGTGTTGGAGGCTGTTGCATTTGCTTCAGATAAAACCTGCTATGGACATATGTTTTTTGTGCTGCTTTTGCTGTGATACACAGGATATTTCAGACATGCTGGTGAAAAATGTGGTTTTCATGCATGGAACAAGATTATTTCAACAACGGTTCTGGAGTAGGCTTTATGATGATGAAATTCTCTGTCTGTGTCACAGTTCACTACAATAATCACACCATAATTTAGAAGCTGCAGGAGTTGAGCTGAATACCTTAGATGACATACTGGTTGCAGGGAAGTGAATGGAAAAAAATTAATTGCCTCAGACCCAAGATTTCATAGTAAATGAGCAGAAGTATGGAAATGCAAAGAAGCATAATATCTCAGTATTGTTCCTGAAAAGACTGACTTCTACTAATAAAGCCAAAAGTGACAATAATGGTGACTGGAAGCCAAAGAGATATTAGCATCATTAGGAGCATCAGACCAGGAGCAGTCAGTGAGAGAGACCTGTAGTAGTGTTTCTGAGCAGGCCAGAACAAATGCTAATTTAAATAGTTCCCTGTTTAGAAATGATTGAAGGAAGTAAGCAGTAGTAATTTGATGGCACACAGAATGTGATGGTGTAGAAATACTGCTTGAATGTAGCACCATCTACTGGCTACAGGGTTTTTCGCTGGGGTTTTTTGTTTTTACAAAATATCATTTAAATCTCCAAAGTTTAAAAGTGAATTTTCTAGTAGTTATTTTAAAGGAGAACAGTCTCAGAATGTATTATTAATGACAATCCAGGTCCCCAAATTATTATTTCCATGGTTCCATATCTATTTACTAAAAGAGCTGCCAGTATTCCTTCTGTTTCCCACTCACTGCAGGATTGAACATACTAGTTACAGCATGTAATTTCTGGAGCTAGATGTGTCTTCGTGTGAAAAGCTAGTTACACACGCAGCTCAAAGGTCATGAAAAATGACATGGAACAGGTTACCTCCCTTATTTATTAGAGCTAGTTGTTACACCTTATACAGATGCTCTGATTTTCGCTCAAAACAACCAGAAAAATTGTAAGGGCAGTGCACTGGTTGCGGTTTTGGTATTCTGTCTTCTCAGAGCGTGTGTGGAAAGGTGAGAAGTGATTTTTAATTTACTTACACGCACGTTACCATTTATATTTTCTCTTCTTAGTATAACTGGTTGTAGCAAGAATGAAGTTACTTGGTTTATCTGTAAAATATCCTGTATTGGCTAAACAGAGCTGTGGGTGGAAGTTGAGTAAAATGACCGGACATTGCCATGTGATACCTTTATATACAAGAGAAACAGCATAAACTTCTTTAGTCATTATTAACACTTTCTAACCTTGATGTTTGGGTTTGTATATGTACCCAGCTGTTATGTTTTATTGAGAACTGAAACTTTGGATTTTCCCATTTGGGCAAGTAATGGAGCAGATTTAGCCAATTTGTCAAGTAGCTTAAGCTTTTATACTGATTTACTTTAAGGTTTGCAGTGATGCTTCACAGGATTGCTCTTGGTAGATTGAAATGTTAACTCACTTCCTATTCTCAGCTATGAGAATATATAATTAACTTTTGTAAAAAAGAAAGAGCCTTTCACATGGGGCCTACTTTTTTGGGTTTTTTTGAAATCACAGCCAACACGGATACAAACGTAGGAAACTGAGTCCTTGCTAAGATCTGTGGTATCTTATGTGATATGAGTCCTTCCTTCAGAAAATGTTCATTTTGAAGATCTTTTCAAGATTATGGGCAAAAGCCAATCTGCACTTGGGAGAGTTTTTGCTGGCCTGAAGAGCTGCTTTAGTGCAGCCAGATAATAAGTGGATGATATACATAGGTACCTTCCACCATTTAGTATTTAAAAAAATCATGCAAGAAAATTCAGTGAAGATACCTGTATTCTGTATAATGTGCTAAGATTATCACTGTAAGATCTTAGTTTGGCACAAATTGCTCTTTGTTCCATCAGACGTGAACCATGGCAGCTCCTGCAGTATGCAATCCTTCTCCCCCCCTTTCAAATCTCCAAACTCTTCTGGGCCTAATTTCAGATATTGCATTGTGCAATTTTAGAACAATTCTGTTACCATGTGTACACAAGGCCTCTATATGCTTCCGCCTCTTGTTAAACTGAGCAGTTCTACTGCATTGTTGCAATGTGCTTTCTAATTACAGTGGATTCTGTTTCATGTGTAGGATGGACAATCTAGTAACAAAATTGTTTCAACTAATCACATAACTACTGGGCAGTTTTGAAGTAGCTGTCTGTCTTTATGCATGTACTAGTAATTCTTTCTGCATCGTGTGCTTGCTGGAAAATAGCACAGCTTAGCACTGAGCATTTTAAACTACTGTAGCAAAACTCTGGCTGTGCTTTTGTTTGCACAGCTTGCATTTGGAAAATGTAACAGAAATAATTTTTGCCTTCAGAACCACTGAAAATAAATGGCAAGTACTAAAAATTATTATTAAAAAAAACCAAACCCTTTATTCAGCTTGAAGTCCTAGAAAGGCACATACGTATTGATTCAGTTTGTGAATGGAGGGTTGCACACACTCATTAGCTGAAGTACTATTAACAGTGTTCCTGGCAGACGTCATCTCCATCTCTAGCACACCACCTCTCTAACTGACACATGGAATGGGGGTTATTACAATATGAGATTATGTGATATTGCTGTGTTTGCATTTTAGAAACATTTTCAGAACCTTGTGTAGTGAAAGCATCATCCTGAGACATCGGTTCCAATAGCTAGTCAGGTTTTGTTCAGAGAGATCTTTGTGAGTTCTGAGAAAAGAAACAGAACAAGTGGAGTAGGTTTTAAATAACAGAACAGTTCCCAGAAGATCAGGATATCAGCCAGTTAGATGCTTCACTGATTTAAAGAAACAATGGAAACCCTGAAACTTAAAATGCAAGTGGGAAATTGAGAACATTTTTAAAATACACCAGTCGGGCACTTGGAAATCCACCAGGCATCATTCTGGAATGACACTGAGTTCTCAAAATGCCATCTTATTTTGTCAAATCACTTAAGAGGACTATCAAAAGGTGAGAAATTTAGGCACAGAGCTGACAACAGCTATGATCAGCATCCTACAGTGGCAGTAAATGGCAAAATGAGCTTTATTTTCTTCCCCTTCAGAATTAGTGTATGTAAATTGAATATTGCTCAGGAGAACACGAAGTCATGACATTTATTTTTGGTTTTAAAAAAAACAAAACAGTAAACTTCAATAGCTTAGGTAAAGGGCTGTTTGTTTCTATTACTGAGCTCAGCTGGTTGTAGCAGAAACTGAAATGTCTTTCGCAGCTCTAGGGGAACAAGATGGTGGTCCTCTGTGGGAAACTTCAGAAAAAAGGGAATATTTTTGTTCAAAAACTATCTGTCAGGTGGTAGGTGCTAACTGTTCATTGGAACAATAAGTAATGGGAAAACCTGATGTTTTTATATGACATGGTGTTTTTACAAATACTTTCTAATTTGTTGTATAGGGATGGCAGGATGTACAGCAAATTCCTCCTATTAGTTCCTATTTTAAGATTCAGCATGGCTAAAACATTGTCAAATTTCTCTAAGAGACTCGGGCAAAATTTCCTTCTACTACAGAATGCCATCTCAAAACAGGGACATAGATCTCTTACAGGCACAAAAA